GGAGCCCTATAATTGATATTTATTATGTACGACGACTCCCGGAAATTAACACAAATCGGTATTACCTTTTGTTAGTGGATGGCTTAAAAGTTTCGTCTAGTGGCGTTTCCCCATAATTTTTCGAACACGATTTCAAAAAGTAAAAATAAATACTCATTAAACCAGGAGGAAGTTGTTACGTAACAATCGCATACATCATTAACATTGTTTATGAATAGGATTAATTAGAACATTTTTGTATCTCATTTTGTTATAAATGGGCATTGATTTAAAGGGAAGGCCGTCAACAGTCATTACGATGTATTCGCTTATATAACATAATCAAGTTCCACTTACAAGAAACCTTTGCATCATATCTAACCGGTTCGGTTATACCATGCTCTTTGATTCCCATATATAATTAATTTCATCTCGAAATTGAACCGACAGGCAGGCTAAACCTTTAACGGAAATGAAAGGAATTAAAAAATTTTCTGTGTAAAGACCAACTTGTAACGTACCAATGTCTCCTGAATGCGAGGCTATTGGTGGTTCTTCAAAGAGGGTGCATGTACATAATGTCAAATGCTATCTACTTTTGGAAAATGATTTCCTCATCACCGATTATATTGTACGTATTCCAGTATTTCTGGAACCGCGCTTTTTTCATAATTGCTCACTGTCTATGAAATAGTGGCACCAAAAATACTAAATGCGAAAGAGGTCATCTCGCCAGCAAAATTTTCGGAATTACGTAATACCAATGGATACGCCAAATAAAGGGGTCGCGGAAAAGGTGTACCGTACATAATTTCAACGAAAAGATTCAGATTAACAAACAGCATTACATGCAACACGTTAGATAAGCGCATAGGTTTTCCCGCACACATGTGTTTTACAAGCAATGCATTATTCATTTGCAAAAAGAGTTTTTCATTGAACCGACCTCACATGTGAAAATTGACGCATCAAGCGGGATTAGCTTATATTTGTTGCACGTACGCATTATCGGCATCAAGATCTTTCAAATGCATATATTGTTACATTTGACCGCCGATCTTTACGTCAATGCGAAATTTATAAATAATGAAATGGATTTGTCACATCACCCGTTCCACATACTGCGCAGAAGTGGATCGTGATCGCACTGTTTATGTTAATAGAGGTGCACACTTATTGGTATTCATCTGTCTTTTAAACGAATTACATGTCTTATTGGATAAATTAGTTTCGAGATCGTGTTATTGAATAAATGATAAAATATGTTTAAAGAAGAGAGAGAGAAGAAATCAAAATAGAAATATTCATTTTGGAAAAAATAAAATACAAGTAGAAACTGAATGAAGTAATAAAAAAGAAAAAAAAAAAATTTACAAAACCCTAGCAAATCATATGCATTTATATAAATCTAATGAGTAATGCCAATTGGACACCGACCTCCCCTAAATAATTCGATTCTAGGTGGGAAAAGAAATGTAGTGTATATCATACATGATACAAAAACAGCATCTAGAGGGTAAGCTATACAAGGAACTGATGGTAGATAAGTGTGCACAAAAAGATGAAGGAAAAAGAGCAATACTAAAAAGAAAACAATGAAGCATTGCTACCTAAATGTTACTATGAGAAAATCACTGATTTATGCACGAGAAGCTACGGCATTGACCGTTTGATGAGGCGTTTGTTGTGCTGGCGGTATCGCGCTCATTATAGCGTTGTATAGGTCATCGGCTGCGGCAGGACTAGAAAGCTATTAAATCCAGCAATGAGTAATAATCACTTGGGTAACGATGGTTTAAGATAATTCGAGAAACCCGTGTAACGAACCTTAATGGCGAAATGGGCGGTCACGTTGTTGTTTCCTTCAAACGCGAGCAATCTCACAAATTTTTCTTGTGACCTTTCAACGCGCATACCTGAGAACAGCGCGATATTCAGAATCACTCGTAGTACGCCTTCAGCGCGCATAACTAAAAAAAAAAAAAAAATTAGATATACATATATTTGTTTATATATGGTTCATGTGGTAAAAAAATGAAATAAAATGTTTTATATGAGACTTCTTGGGTGCGCGTAAAAAAAAGAAAAAAAAAGCAAAAAAGCAAAAAAATTTTTTTTCCTCTTAGCTAAATGAAACCTGAAATGTGTAGTAGGGAAAAAAAAAAATCTGCACTAACCTAGCCTCGGGGATTTGTCGTAATTTTTTGGAAAGTTAAGTTTCAAAATCCCGACTCCTCGTTCTTTCCACTGCTGCTCCCGATCCATGCAGTATAATTTCGCCCTAACAGAATACCCAGTGACCTCATCCTCTTCCCCGGTCAACACTGAATTTTAAGACTCATGAGCTCTAAAACCCATTGATGTTTCCTATCAACTAGATAATGATGACACTGATCATACCTTCTTGTTCCTGTAGCATGGGTCTCGCGCCCATTCCAAAGGGTGTCTCATCTTCGGCATCGCTTTCTCTATCATTCTCATTCTCCTCATCATTATTTGAAGTCTCATCGAAAATTGATGTTTTTGTGGAAGACTCCTGAGTACCAAATTTTCCCATCAATCCTGAACCAAATATACTTTTACTCTGCGAGGAAGACGAATAATCCGAGAACCCGATTGGCTTCAAGCAAAATATTTAAGTTTAAATGTTTACCACTGGTTCATTATCATGCATCAATTACTCTTCGAGCATTCAAATTTCATTGAGAAACTTACTTTGTTATGTGATTGAGAAGTACTCGAAATCTGACTACCAAATATTTTGGTGTTGGTCGACATCGCCTTTGGTATGTAACCACTGCCAAACGTTCGAGTGCTCTGACCAATTGATGTTTGATTTTCAAAAGGAGATTTGTAGAGACTTGTCTTGCATCCTATTTCCGCTCTGATTCCTGGAACTGAAGCCTTATTTGAATTCTCTGTGAAACTTTCCGATGATTCTTGTGATTCTAGTGACTCTCCTACTTTTTCAACCTCTTTGCCAGAGTCTTTCGCGTCAGCCACATCCTCAATAATTGATTCTATGGCAGGCAATTCATTGATTTGATTTACTCCCTGTGGTTCTTCAAGTTTCGCGGTGCTGTCGGAACTGTTGTCGATTTTCTTTGTGGAATCGGTTTCGTAGATCTTATTCCTTTGCGCTAACTCAATGACTGTAAAACTCTGATGCCTTTGTAAAGGTTTCTCGTTTCTCATTTCGGATATGACAGCAAAACTCTCGTGCCTTTGAATCGACTCTGCGATCGTCCTGGAAAGCTTCCGAGGTATACTAGACGAGTCCTTTCCTGCGTCAACTTCATTATCCACATATAATTCAGTAGCTGCCCGTTTTTTCGACGAGAAGACCGACAAATTCCCGTTTTCACCAACAACAGCATCATTCGTCACCGACTCCTCGATAATCTTTTCAGCAGTTTGACTGTCTTCGACAGGTGGCATAGTCGAAGAAGGTTCTTTGTCCGTTGCGTCAGCATTCACAACATCAACAACTGGAATTGAGGCAGGACGATCGCGTTCCTCGTTGCCGTATGTGTTGACTTTCATCGTCTCCACTTTTTTTCGCAAAGTCCTCATTGGCTCGGTCGTCTCCCCGCCAGGCGCACTCGGGACATTTTCCTCTGTGTTTTCAGCAATCTTATCGTGTCGCCTGATCGATTCAGACTTTCCTCAGTAAAATTCGTAAATGTCCCATTCGTTGATTAAAAAATCGAATTACAAAAAAACCCTACTTCTTTTTTGATCGGACAGTTTTGTCGCCATCGTCTGAGGAATCAGTGTGATTCTGAGGTGAAAAGTAAATGGGAGAGGTTAGGCATTTAACAAAGAAACGAGCAAAAAGCAACTGACTTTTCTTTTTTTCAGGCAAACAGAGCATAAAGCAAGTCTACCGCTAAGGTCTCCGCTTCTGCGATCTCGAGCGAGCCTTCGCGTTCCCTCTTGCGTTTGATGTCTTCTGCACTCAGAGAAGAAAAAGAAATAAGTGAATGAGTAAAATGAAATAAGAGCGCAGAAGAGGTCAACGTTTAAAATATGACAAAGATACGAAATCAGACGGTTGATTTCACAAATATTTTACCAAACGAAGAATCTGTGGATGTAGTCGTCATTTTGTTTAAATGATTACTGAAATCAGAGTTCTTTGGTTTGAGGAAAAAAAAATCGGCGTGCACAAATCCTATGAACTCGGTGTAGTCATTAATGATTAATCGAGAAGTTTGTGTTATCAACAACGCAACTAATCACGCTATCGGTTAATAATTTATATATAGCTGATTAGGTATTCGCCCTTCCCCGCACTTGAATTTTTTCACCCAGAGTAAATAGATCGTCAATTGAAACTGACCGAGCGATCTTTGCACCAATCGCGGAGCGTCAGTGCGTCATTGGTTTGCTGCGCCAATCGAATCTTCAGGGTTCAGCAACAATAGCCAACTTATACTCTCTTTCTATTTTCATGTTCGCAGGAAAACCGGTCAAAGGAGAGTGCATGTAAATTTCAAGGATGACAAGTTTGCCTCCAAACAATTCACAGATGTCGTCTCAAAGAGACAAAATACCGCGTGATTCCAAAGTCATGGAACTCATTCTTCGATCGGCAGGGGTGGAGGATTTCGAGCCCAAGGTGATTCAGCAATTGTTGGAATTTGCTCACCGTTAAGTATTTGAGAAACTTTTTTAATGAAATCCTTTCGCGCTTCGTCTTCGAACTTTTTTTATTTACTCATCTAATCACCGCTTCTTTGACGATTTCGATAAATCGTTCAACATCACAGGATACACCGTCGACGTAATCCAAGATGCATTAGCATATGCCGAACACACGGGAAAAAATGAAATAGATATTGATGACGTTAAATTGGCCATACAGGGTCGCATCAATCATTCGTTTACTGCACCACCACGACAAGAGGTAATTTCGACCACGTTTCATTATTGGCCCTTTCTGATGGTCAGTTCGATTTATTTTTCATTTTTTTTTTTTGTTTACTTTGGTGCAGTTTTTGGTGCAACTTGCCAAAGAGCAGAATAAAGAACCATTACCTCCAGTACCGTTAAAATATGGATTACGTCTACCCCCTGAAAAACATTGTTTGACCGCACTAAATTTCCAACTCGTGCCCGAGGTGACTCATTTTTATTTTCGTTCCACTCGATCTATGTCCTCGCTGACTTTATCGCGCGGATACTTATGCTAATCCTTTTTTTTTTTCTCCTCTCCTTTATTATAATCTCGCGAAAACAAGCAACCATTACCGTTATCATCGCAACGATACATGCAAGAAGATACCATCATATTCACGCAGGCGCAAGAGATATCATCACAAATTGTCCCATCCGAACCAGATGACGTGATGACGGAGGTTCAACATGATGATATTGATGAATTAATCAGCACCAATAAGAAAACCGACTCAGAACCCGTCGAGATGGACTATGAGGCCGAGAGTCCGAATTCAACGACAGGTTTGAACGAAAATTTCAAACGACCTGCAGAAGATGATGAGTACGACGACTTTTAGGGTTCCTTGTAACAACCATATGAGTTTCGGTATGGAGATATCATTTTTCTTCTCTTTCTTCTAACGACTCGATAATAATTACTATGACGATTGATCATACTATATAATTACAGGTAAATAATGTTTTAATCAAATTGCTGCCCACAAAAGAAAAAGATATATCGGTCACGTGATATATGGCACCATTAATTTGATGCATAATCATTCTCGTCGCTTTCATTTTTGTCTTCTAAAACACCTTCGATGCTGATATTCTTTTCGGATTTTCTTTCGTTCACCTGGTTAAAAAACATTTCCGCAAGCTGTTCACTGGTAGTGGCATTCTCTACCGATTTGTCTTCTCTGACTCTCACGAATCTCGGGAATCTTAACGATAAACCTTTTTCATGATCCACATTACCAACAGCCGCCCTGTAGGTCGGCGAGATTGTGATGTCTGCACCTTTTTTTAGAAAGAGAATGAAAGGAAATAATAAATATCAATTATATTTGATTCATAAGTGTCACAATGTGTACATGCCTTTGATTTCCCAAACCTCTAGGGGTTCGAACCATACTGGACAAAAAATTTGAACATTTTTAAATATATGCAGTATATAATACAAAAAATTAACAATCACTGGATTGATTGATTCACACCATCCGGTCTTATTCCATCATCCACGTCATAGTAAGGTTTTTTGGTCTCGGAAATATTTCCATTCTCTTTGGAATATTTTAGTTTCATTTCCGCATAAAACTGATCACTAAACCCTGACATGCATTTACAAACACCTTCGAATGTTTCGGCGTCGGGATTATAAATAGCCAATAGCACGGGACTCCACCATCGAGCTTTTCTTCCGTTGCCATGCCAGGCCCCAATTGGCTTCAAACGGCGAAAAAAAAAGGAATCAATTTAGGCAGAGAGGTTAATTAAATAAACCCTCGTTATTAAGCAAAGTCGATCAGCACAAAAGAAATCTACTAAGCACCACAACGTCCAAGCTATCTCCAATGCCATTAATATAATCTTTCTTTACTTTCAACCAACTTTCAAGCCTTTTATCTTATCGAAGAGTGCTTTGCTATTTAGTATCAACACGCGTCACTTGTGATGCCTCTTACGAATAAAACACGAACCGGGTTCGTAACTAGCCAACAGATTCGTCCTCTGGTTGTTTCCTGTCTTTGACGGTGGATCGTCTAACACCTTGACCATTATTCCCTCGCATCCGAATTCTGTCGAATTTTTAAAGAAAGAGTGAACTTCTTCGGGATCTGATGATTCAATTTGCGCTACAAAGTCAAATTGACCTTTAACTTTCACAAAGTTGCCATGCAAAAGATCGCGACGGTTCCGAAGCGGTAATTTCAACAGTGACTTTGTAATCGACAGGATTCAAAAAATTATAATGACAAAAGGAGAAAAAGTAATACGGTAAATGGCTGTCGAGAATATTTTTACCTGCCCATTAAGGTACATTAGATCAAATGCAAAGACGCAAACTGGTACTGAAATTTTCGACAATTCGACATTTTTCCTCGTTCGATTTGATAATTTTTGAAAATTTTGTAACTGTCCGTCCGAATTGATTGCCACCACCTCTCCGTCCATGATGAAAGAGGTTACACCGTCCGAACAGATTCGAGGAATCACCTGAACTATATCGGGAAACTTCTCCGTCATATTCTTATCGCGAGGAACGAGATATGAACCAACAGAAAGAGCACATGCACATGAAACAGTGATAAACCTTTGACGCGAGGAAATGATCGCTCAAATTTTTACCTCCAGGTGACGACTAAATATCGTCACAACGCCATTCGAATCCATGTGGATTTGAGCACGTTGTCCATCGTACTTGTACTCACAATTAAGTAATTTTCCCTCGGACTTTTTAAACACCTGTGTCAAATCCTGAGTGATTTTACCCAACATGGGTCTGAGAGGTATACCTTGGAAAAAGAAATGATTATAATAATAATAATAATAATAATAATAAAAGAGTGATGAATAACAATTAGATGATAATCGGAAAGTTAAATTAATAGAATCTTTGGCATTACCTACAGTCAATCGACAGATATCTAATAATTTTTCCATCGGATTTTCTAACAAGCATTTGACGATACCGCTGTAGTTAGGGAACTGCGCGTAGCATTCTTTCAATAAATTTTCCGACGCCCTTAATTTAGTTTTTATCATTTCCGCTGAATCTCTTTTAGTGTCGACGTTAAGGGGAAAATCTCCTCGCTCCTCGGATGCAACCATGCCGCGTGGTTTGGTAAGACAAAACGCTCGTGCGAGTGCGATCAAACATGTCGTTCTTAATGCTCCGATCCGCAAATTTTGTATCAAAGTCCTGGTCAAATATTTGATTTCTTCTCCGTTACATGAAATTAAAAGTTTTTTCACCAACCCAACCTTTTGGTTTACAACTCCGGAACCTTTCAACTTTGATATGGAACGCAGTGTATTATAAACGAAATCGATTGTCAAAGTTTTAGGTTCCAGCAGTGTTCTGATTGAACATTTCGCCATATAAGCCACATCCCCCCAAT